GAGTGTCTGACAGCCACTGGAAGTTGAGAATTAGCATATCCTTCTGTTTGATCGATGCTGCAATGCTTCCTCGACACCAAATGCGAGGTTCAAGTTCTCCTGAAAACCACTCACACCAAGGAACACGCCATCCGGGTTGTCATGAAAGTCGTCCAGCTCCCGGGAGATGTCGCTGAAATCCAACAAGCGACAGAGGTGACAGAGCGAGGAATATGACCGAATGATGGAGGAAACCCGTTTCGACAGACTGGTTTTCCGCAGCAGGTCTGTAGATTCCTGTCGCGGCCCTTGTCAGCAATGCCAAAACCCCGATTTCCCCTCCTCCAAGCACCCAAGCTCTCAATTCTTGCAGAGAAATTAACCTGGACCTACTGAAATCGCCCCATCGCCTCGGCCTCGGCCACGACCCGATGCTTTCCTCGCGAGCCTATCGAATATTGCAGCCATATCCGCGTGATGTTGCCAAAGGTCCAATCTCCGTATGCTCGCTGTGTGCGATCATTGACTCGACGCCATCGTCAAGCCAACTGACTGAGTCCGAAGAGTTGGCGGATTCACTTGGCACTTCTAGCTACCTAGGTAGGCATATTGCCTTGGCCGCTTACTGCAGGGGGCTACCACCGCCCCCAAATGAAACGTCAAGAATATGCCCACCGATTCAAATTCTCTGGTGTAGATATTTCGACTCAATCATGATGTAGAACGGTGAGTTGAAGATTGCTATATTCAAACAAGGCTACGTGCACTTGCCAAGACTCAACCAGAGGCCCCCACGGCCAGCTCAGGGGCAAGAAAGCCGCTATCCCGATTCGCGATTGGGCACTCAGCCCCCCTTGGATTCACCCGATCTTGCGAATCGGTTCTACAAAAGATGTCTTTCATGTTCACTCTCATCGTTTGAATAAAATATGTAGCATCGTTAAGCCTTTCTGTCCTAATAATAGATAATGTACCTAGGTATGATATGGCAAGAATATGACAATACAGCGTCTCTCAAACGAGCTGTACGATTTATGTGACTTTCTTGGTATTCGATTGATTATAGGATTGAAACGGTTTTGGTTTTTTAAAAATATTTTAGAATAAGGCGATGATAGAAATCTAGAACGAACACGATTAGAAACGATTACGGAAACCTAGGACCGTTTTGAACTTGTAATTATTTACGTCTACCTACTCGACTCCCTGCCACGCCTGCATTGGAAAATATGCCAAGCTTTATGCTTTTCAGTGTGGGTCATGCTTAGGTCAGCCCCCAGGTTGAATCCCTACAAGTTCCGATTTGGGACGGCGAGGTGACGGTAATTGAACCTATCTCAACCTTAATGTGTTTATTCCCTCGAGGGAAGTTGTCATACGCTGTTAAGCTTGGAGGATTGGAAGCACCCGCCACGTCAGATTCGTTCCATCTGTTGTTGACTTATGCATGTTGCGTAGGTGGCGTCATCGTCGCTTACTCGTATGTAATAAAAGAGTCCTACCAACAATTCATTATGCGTATAGGTAATCAATCAGCTTGGGGGCTACCTAATGGGTTGACCACGATTAAATCCGCCAACGCGACACGATCTAGAACCGAGGTTATAGCCGAGGCGTTAGATGTGAATCGTGAAGCAGCTAATTGCAGTGAGATGATTGGGCTTTCTATCTCTCGCAATACCGGTTGATCATACTATTTGCATAGTCCGCCAAGCCAGCCAAGCATGCGGGCGACGCTAAGAGGCATTGGGATTAGCATGCGAGGCACCCAAGCTGAAGCTGCAAGGAACAGATGAAAGGATGCAAATAGCTGAGGGTTTAAAAAGTCCTAACTGACGTTAGTGTGTAAGACGTGGACGCATCCTGATGTCATAGGCACTAGCCACCATAATGTCTTGCAAGGGCCCGGCGGTTTCGGGTCTCTCCTACTATCGTTAGTATATATCCCGCGTGGTTTCTTTGATGCTTTTCATCCTTCTTTTTGGAAGTTTGCTGCTTCGTGTCTCACAAGTATTTGACAGACATACTTACGCGTAGTAGGCAGGAGTCGGCGTCGCGCCTTGTCCGTCAGGTCTTCGTGCCCAAGCGCCCCTGGGCTTCTATCTATAATCCACACGGACCATCTCACCCACTCTCATTGCACCAGTGACGACCGTCCGTGAGTGAAAGAAGAGTATTCTATTCCAGGGCCGAAGCCGCGATTCCAACCGAGAATTGAGAGTCTTTCGTGAAAGTGGGCTGTCAAAACTCGCAGTTACTACCGACGCTGTTACTTTCTGATCATTCATTGTTTCTGCCCAGAGAAAGCTCGACAACGCATTGTTTCGCAATTCACTTATTTCTATCAATCTGAGCAATTGCTTTTCAATTCTGCACATCTCCGTTCGTTCCGAAATCATCCACCTAGATTCGCATTCACCATGGCTCTACAACGATTGTTGCCGGTTGGCCTCTTCGCGGCCCAAGTCCTCGGTGCCGCGCATCCCGTCATCACCCAGGCGCCGAGCGTAGAAGCCCGCGACGCCGCCCTAGAGCGCCGTCTCGACCCCGTCGGCTACGTCGACAGCCTCATAAGCCACCTCGGCAGCGGAGTCTCGAGCTACGTCGCCTCGGGCGTGCCCCAATTCTTCCAAGACTTCCCCATCGGCAAGGGCGTCGAGAAAGCGCTCGATATCGACGATAAGGACCTTGATGCGATACCAACCCAGGCCCTCAACCTGCCCGGTTACGCGAACTGGACAGACGGCGGGTGGAACGTCCGGATACACGGAAACATATACAAGGTCCCCAACGTCGACCAGAAGAAGATCGACAGCCTCGCCAACAAGTTCCTCATCGGCGTCGATCTCGACGAGCTACCGCCGGACCAGCAGGCGCAGGCACGGAACTTCACACAGTCCATCTTCGTCGTGCAGCAGGACAACGTGAGCGTCACCGTCAACTTCCAGCCCAACGTCGACGTCGAGCCAGATGCGAGCGGCGGCGTGTTCAACGCCAAGGGCGGCGCGCAGTCCATCGACCTGCCGTACAACACGACCTCAGAAGGCGACTTCGACGCCTGGCTGACACTGAAAAACACGACCGGGCCCAACGGCGGGCACCTGCTAGCCGGAAACGCGACGCAGCGAATCCAAGCGCTCAACGTGTACACGAACGGCACCGACTCGGGCAACGCCACCGCCTACCTGGTGCCGACGACGGGGTTCACGATAATCTCCGACATCGACGACATCCTGCGCATCACCAAGATCTACGACCCGAAAGAGGGGCTGCTCAACTCGTTCGCCCGCCCCTTTACGCCCTGGGAGGACATGCCGGAAATCTACGCCAACTGGTCCGCCAAGATCCCCGACTTCCACTTCCACTACCTGACCACGACGCCCGAGCAAGTCACGCGCAACTACATGGAGTTCATCTACAAGACATACCCCCTCGGCTCCTTCGACACGCGGCCGCTCAATTTCTCTGACGTGGACGCGACTCTTGCGATCCGCAAGGCGCTGCTTGAGAAGATATTTCAGACTTTCCCTAAGCGCAAGTTTGTGCTTATGGGCGACACGACGAACTCGGATGTTATGAAGGACTATCCGCAGTTGGTGAAGGATTTCCCGGGGCAGGTGCAGTGCATCTTCTTGAGAAATACGACCGCCACGGATGATACGGACCTGTTCCCCTATGATACTTCGGGCTTTGAGGGCATTGATCAGAAGCAGTACATGTTCTTTGTGCATGCGGACGATCTCAAGGGCGTGGATATCGTTGGCGGCAACTGCCATAACCCGGCGGTGGTGCAGAATGTTACGTTCGGCTTCCAGGGGCGCGGGTTTGAGGACAGTTGGGCGGTTAGGGGTATGGGGTGGAGTTGGGTTACTTTGGTCACGGCGTTGGTGGTTACGGTTGGGCAGAGTTTGTTATAGGTTTAGGAATTGGGGTGTTTGGGGTATAGGTAGGACAGGTGTAGAGCGTGGGAGTTTGTGTATAAATGATGGTATGAGCTTTTATGTATTGTTATGAATCGTTTCAGGGAAGAAGACCCTATGGTTAATTATAGAACTACCCTACAAATCCTCGACTGATGGCATGTTTGATATAAGTCTGGTACGCACGCCATGTGAAGCTGTCAGGTTGTGTTGGAAGTATGAGATATATTATGCGGCGATGCGGAATGCGACGAATCGGCCAAATTCGTCAGTCAAAGATAAATAACATTGGTAAGTAATTATACTTCGAGCTAGTTTAGGTAGCCAGCTGAAAAGTTGAGCTCGATCAAACCTGCGCCTCTAGCACATAGCCTGGTCTGCCTGTTTGTTGTTTCTGTTCGTTTGTTTGTTTGAGAAGTGCTCTATTTCGCAGCGGGCTGAAAACGCCAAGAACTTATGTTTGTCCAAGCCGGGATTAAAGCAAGGTAAGTAAGCAAACCAGTGGACATGAGACAGATATCGATGAGGGCATGGAACTCATCATTGGGCTTGGGTTTTGGCCACATTCCTTTGGCGAGCTTGGGGTAGGTAGGTTGAGTAGAGATTGAGGGGATGGCCTGTCTTGCTTACTTCACTGGGGAAAGGGGGAAGGAAGCCTTTTGAGATTTGTAGTCGGTGGACTAGAGGGTTGGTCATCTTCGCAAACATGCCGACGTACTTACCTAAACTAAGTCAGTATGCTCTCCGGTTTTCTCTTGTTGAAAAGAACGTAGTAACTCTGGGAAAGACTTGACGTGAAAGAGGCAGGTATGCAAGCATAAGTGAGGTACCTTGCATGTATGTATGTAAAACTTGCAAGTCCTCTCGTAGGTTGTCCCAATAGCTTTCTCATATGAAGCCTAAGCTAAAAAGATGAGTGACGGGGGTTAGTTAATAAGATAGTAACTGGTGTCACCTTTTAATCAATCTTCTCAAGTTGAGTCGTTGGTCTCCTAAGTGAGCTGACTAGGCGGGTACCTGCCACCTTCCTTTGTTTCCTTCAACACAAAAATGGCACGGCATGCCATGCTTAACACGCAACACCAAAATGGCAAAAATTTGGGCCCAGCGCAAGGTTCGAACTTGCAACCATTCTATTTGTCAAAGTCAAAGGTGAACGCTCTTCCAATTGAGCTAGCCGGGCCTGCATACTTCGTTGCGAACGACGAATGTGTGGTTTTTGGAAAAAAAGATCATATATACTGATTGTTAGGTACTAATGTTATAAGAGACTTCATGTATCTTGGAACTCTCATTCTCATCAGTTTGTTTGAATTGGTGTTGTCTGCGTGTCCGATCGAGTAATGATACCCCCCCCCCTCCCTCAAAAAAGCCCATCGTAGCTATCCCTACCTGGACACCTAGAGATCAACAGTGTCAAAGTAATAAAGCTCCCGGTGTCTTCCTCATCCGTCGACGATTTAGGAGTATTGCGTGAGGGATGATAAGACGGTGTATGCGGAGGTGGCAGTGTCTGTGACTGGAGGTGGCCGATGCTGTTGCTGCTACTAGCATCGACGTGGGCTGCCTACTGGGTTTCGTGCTACTCTCTTGAAAAAGAGGTGCTTGTGAGATACTGTTATGAGTAATTCGTTAGTAGTGAACTTAAGTTCAAGGTGTAACCTTCGGGGTTGTTGACAATTCGTTTGGATGATCGAGTGGTTATTGACCCGCCCCCTTCTCCCTTGCTAGTATTGAGTGACCGACGGAGGTGAAATGATAGACGCGAGATACTTGAAGAATACTGATAGACAGTAGAATTGGCAGTGGTCATATCCCGAGATCAAGCTATCGGGAGCTGTTATAATCCGTCATTTCTAGTCGGGCATAATGATGTGTGAGGTTCGCTAGCGGCTCCGTACGGAATAACCCCCGAGCCGCGGCTACTAGGGTATATATACTAGTTCATAGTCCCGAGTTGCAAAAGGAGAGTTTTGTCATTCCATTTACTGGACTTCCAGTAGTGTGAAATGGGACACTATATGCTCGATATTCTGAGGCCCTTTAAGATGTTGAGTGTTTGCAGTTCAAATCATGTGATAGTGTACATGTCGCAGAGCCATTTTAGTAAAGGCTAGTGAAGCTGGTGACGGCATGAGTGAAACCCCAATCAGACGATATACATAATGAGAGTAGGGCTGTTGTTGAATGAGAGCGCCACCCCAGTGTTCCTCGCCCGCCTGGGCTCAGGATCTGTGAGGTGGCAAGTGAGGTTGCCACAGGATGACGAAGCTGCCGCATCGTACTGCGCTCCCTTGAAGCAGACTATTGGTTTTCATACACTCACAGATCTCATTGTGAAGCCTTGAAGCCTCGAAGCAGGTGGCGCAGTCCAAAGGGTTTGCTATGAACCGATCACATTACACTTCACATTCATCAGGTCTGTACCAGCATGAGAGGTTCGATGGCAGGGTCGCCTTCACGTATGATGTATGAATCTCAAAGCAGCGCATCTGTTACGAAAAGAAGGCGACCTTATGAGCTTATGAAAACAAACGTCATGAGTTTGATAATGATGCGTTTCGTTTCGCATGAAGTTACACGATCTTGTTTGTCTGGAAGAGAGTGAGCGGCGCTCCCTTCAAAGGTGCTTGGTGACCGTCTGGCTTTCGCCACACTATTGACTTATAAGCACTGGTTGTCGTCTTCCTTCCTCTAGTCTTTCTACTTTTTAAACCACAACACCATAACCACTGAAGCATTCGACGTACTGAGCCAACACCATCCACGATGTCGTCAAGCACTCACAAGAACGATGAAAACGCGGCTTCGTCTCCGAACGATAACGTGCTGCTCACACCCACATCACCCACCATGCCGTCGAGCTTTCATGAGGGCGCCGAAGACGCGGCTGCGTCCCTGGATGGTGGCACGTTGCTCACACCTACATCAACCACCGCGCCAGCGAGCATTCACGGGGACATTCACGAGGGAATTCATGAGGGCGACAAAGGCGCGGGTCCGTCCCGAAATGTTGGTGTGCAGGCCTCACCCACAGCCTCCGGACCAGATCGTTGTCTTCGAGCACACGTGTATGAGGATTCATATGAAGCAGAAGATCGCACTACGTATGATATCTCGGAGGAGGGTTCACGCACAGTAGTGCCGCGTACCTCACGCAGACGTCTGCACGAGGAGCTCGTCCGAGTTATCGATGCCTCACACTTCGCTGGCCACCCATCGAGTATCGAGGTAACGTGGTCGGTTGCTATCCATTCCCAAGAAGAAATGCCCTACGGCCTCAGACGCAGGATCATGCAGGTCGTCGGCGATGCTAGTCCCAAGTGTTCGCATACGAAGAATACCGTCGCCTTCAGCTCGCGCGAGGGGGTGCAGCCGGAGCGGCGCGACCCTCCAGATGGATATCAGTACTTTTACCCTATTTCCCGCGACGGTGAAATTACCGGTGAAGCAAGGCTAGGGCGTGCCGTGTATGGACAGAAGCCAAACGCGAGTCCAAGCTCTGGGGATCGAGGACGCAATCTCTTTATTGAGGAATCACCAAGCTGGGTATCGCGTCGGGGTGTGTGTGAAACAATGACGCCAGGTATACAGGTATACCTTGGTATCCCTTGACTTGAAGATACGGCGATGATGTATCAATCTTCCCCACAATGTCTGCTGGCGGTGCTGTGAAGGGTGGTTTAGATCTCAGTGTAGTCAGTTCCCACTTCGGGAGACCGGATGTGTCGAGCAATATAATGACGTTGTTGAAGCCCAACATGGATATCGTGCAAATTGAATAGTATCGTGATATGGTGGTAAAGAATTGCAAAAACCCCCACGGCCCATAGCGTGAAGATCAAAGGGCCCTGTTTTGCCATCACATACAGGAGTAGGCGTCAAATTTTTCACGTGGAGTGCACGCCTGGACTCCTCATTCATCTCTCAACGTGGTAATTGTTGGACGCTCGCTAGGTACGCGTACGTTCTGTGCCCTGACTTCGTGTAGATCAAGGATGGGTTTCTTCTCGACTGACGATCGTTCAGAACTAGCTATGAAAGAGGCAAGTGATTAGCAATTAGCACGAACCGACTGTGATATTGACAACGGGTAGTCCCGGTCGATATTGCCGCCGTTACAAATTGGATGTCGAGGTATGGAGCAGGTGAACACCCTCCAGGCCGATATTGCTCTTGCGAGAGACGTTATTCGAGAAGATACGATGACGAAGCCGAGTAGGTACCTGCTCCGTGTCACGATGCCACAAGAAAGACGTTGTAGCGGTGTAACCTTTCCCATTTCCCCATCTTGATGGAGCAGGACGCGGGTTGGATGCCCAAAAGTACCATGACTGACCATTGATCGGTTCAGCCCACGGGACCAAGATTCAAGGCAATGTTCATGTGAAGCGCTGATGCCGTTTGATCATCCGGCATCTGGGGCCCATCGCTCGCCAACCCACCCACTGCTCCGACGAAGTTCAACAACAAGTGCATCGTTGCATTATCGAGTATGATGCTCGACACGACTTCGAAACATCGTACCCAGAAAATCAATACATGACAGCTCTACAGACGGACCGGCCAGCGTCCGTGCCACGAACAACTAAGCACTCGAAGTCATCGTGATCGCAGTCTAAACGCGTACGTGCGTGGTGGGGAGCTTCCACTTAGACACGGCGCCAATTTCATAAGGCGGGCCACGTGCTCATGAAAAAATTGACAAATTGGTCGTGTCTGGTCGTTTCGTGACTCGTGCTTATGGGGCAAAGCCAAATGAAGTGGGCAAATTGTTCGTATCAGAACATGGCCTCATTCATGATAAGTGAGTGGCCCTTCTGTGATGATCACTCTTTGAGTTTGAAAGTGAGTTGTCATTGTGATAGAGAATGGGGGGTTGCTCTGGCGCGCTTGAGTCGGCTGGAGCTGCAAATATTTTTTTTCCTATTGATCTTCCTTTTGCCCTTTTCCTTGTGTAACGCAAATATTCCGATTGGTTGGGGAATATGCGCAGACGCAGTGGTCAGACGAGATAGCCGACCAAGATGTGCGTGTCTCGCGTGTACTGTCATGCTTGTCATGGCTCACAGACAGCCAGCCGTCGAACTCCTCATCCCTCCGGTCTTGGAAAAACTCCACCGCCATGAAGGCTAAGACTTGTCGTAATGTCGGACCGCAGCGTTCCGCGCGTAGCTCGTTAGGGCTAATGTAATAGAGGTAGAGCACGCTAAATTAGTGACCGACCCTAATGTAGAGAAAACGTTCCCGCTACTGCTCAAGTGGAGTGGTTGTTCCGTTAGTAATCGTTACATTTTCGCAAACGGCGTGTTGTGACATCGTCCTAACCCGTTGCTGCGCGGAAATCAGCTCACTGACAGCTCGTGTGGCTGACATCGAGCCCGCACGAGATCGGAACTTTCGCGCCTCTCGATAGAGGACGGGCTCTAGATCTTCCTTGGCGTCTAATAAATCATCCCAGTCTTTGTGGGTTCGGGTTGCGCGTCGAAGTTTGGGTTTCATCCCTTCACTTGGCTCAATGTTTTGCCGCCGAGTCTGCTGCAGCCAGCAGCGAGGTCGAGCGTCGACCTGTCGAATGTGAGCTCGTGGCAAGAAAGGAGAGAGGAAATAAAGACAAGCTTCGGGGGGCTAACCTGAAGCAACACCCATGGTACAGACGAACCATTCCTGTCTGGCGCACGATGAAACGTCACCGAGCACACTACACGGCCGAGCATACAAATCGTCAGATTTTCCGTGTTTCTATTTCGGCCGTGGGATGAGATCCACCAACAAGCGGTATTGACTGCATGAGGCACATCCTTGCAGTAGCTTACAGGCCATCCCAGCCTCCCGACCCAGTGGTTCCGTCTCCGGAACAGTCTGACCCCAGCGCCCAGGGAAAATCCATGTCAGCCATAAGCACCAAGCACCCCTGTCCGTATTTTCGAGCATTGACACTCTCTACATAAGTTTGCTTTTGTGATATGAGAATCAATATCTTTTACTCGCAGTCAGTTCTCCATTGCCCGCCACAGTGAGGCTTTTATCACTATTGAACGCAGTTTGGCTTCTTTCAATCAATTAGAGTGCGAAATCCAGGAGGACTTTACGGCCCATCTGGCGTACAAGTTTGCTTAAAGCCACTATACTTGACACACCCAAGCTGATCAGTTGTTTGCTATGTTGACGGACCCTGAAATT